ATTTGCAGATATATTCTATTATAATGCCTCTAAGTCATTCTATTTTGAAATATTTAAAAATTTAATTATTTGACATGTTTTTCGTCCAACGAAAAAAAACTTTGCATATCACCCCACAACACCCTATATATTATTTTAATTTTAAATTAGAAATGTAATAATAATTATTATTAATTAATTTTTTAAAATATAATAATAATTAAACCTCCCAATTCTATAACTCGATCTATGCACCATTCACAGTCTCCTAGTTGAGCCAGCTCACAGCTGCACAAGGGACTTGCGCACTGTAACAGATCGAGTTATAGAATTGGGAGGCTCAATTATTATTATTTTAAATGTCAAATAATTATATTATTTTAAATGTAAATAATTATTTATATTTATTTAATGTAAAAAGCAACAAAATAGTAGCTCTTAGTGGCTGAAATCTAAAAGAAAATACCGAAATAGTAGCATAACGTAAAAAATTAGTTAATAGTAGGTTTTAGTAGATGAGTGCGAAGCCTCCAATCACAAAAACAAATAGCAAAAATAAAAATTCCACAAAACATCAAAATAATTGAATCAACTTCCAACTTTCTTGATTCCCTCAAATTAGTGTCAAAACGAAAATTAATATTCAACGTACAACCCGTTTTCCCGCAAAAATGATATCAGATCATGAATAGTAAAATGACGACACACAGGGGTATATTAGATAAGAAAAATATTTGCATATTATGACGTACTGCAAATTACTATATAAAGAGGCATATCACTGCGAATTATTATACACTAAATTACAGCACAAAGTGACGTAAAGTTTTGTTTCATGTCTATAATCATATATGTAGATAGACCATATAAGAAAACCGGTAGAGCGAGATTAATTTTTCCTCAAAACTATATTATAAACTCAAAGTTATCCCCAACAGGGAAATGATGCGATAGTAGAATCTAAATTTAAGTTATGAATATAAAACTTTAATTTTATGTCATGTGTGTTAACGTAATGAACCAATCTTTTTCTTGTATCTTGTCACTTTTAGTTATACACCCCCTGAAGCGCTCGTTTCCTCTCTCTAACCATATCAGTGCGCATATATACTGATGTAATATTTAAACACCTTTTACAACTAATTATCGCACATCTATTCAGAAAACCTATAATTAACGCCATGAATTTTGTACAAAATTCTCAATTTATTATTTCCGGTAATAATAACACTTTACAGTTATTTTATAGTTATACTTCAATCATATTATATAATTGACACTAAAATTCAAATTCGATATTCAAAAAAGGGTATAAAAATAATGATGATGTATCAATTAAATTTCCTCAGTGTCAACAATGACTTTATTAGCTACCGGAAAAATAATTTCAATAAATCAAAATCCATTCAATCTCTGAATAAAATTCTTTTCCTTTTCAAATAATATAATCTTTATAGCTACATGTTGTTCTTATTTTAATGTCTATTTAAAATCATTCATGAATATTTTTCAAGTGTTGAGAATATAATCCGAGAGGAGATTATATGTTAAATAAAAGAAAGGCACATATCGAGTTCTATACTCATTCACATATATTATAACATATAAAAAACTAGAGATTCTAGAATCAAATCAAATAAAAAGGCGGTGAAATGAGGGGAAGAAAGCTAGTTTGAAGAGGGGACAAAAAAGTGAATAATCGGCTTATCGCGGACCCTTTCCTTAACACCTTGGAATTTCAGCTGTTATTGAGGAGAGATAGAGAGAGAATATACCCACGGGAAACTGCTTTATAATACAAAATCATGTCACCTAAACCTTTGACAAGTGAGGTTTTGAAATAAAAAAAACCTTTGCTCCCATTCTCAAAAAACACACAGAAATTATTTCCAAAAATACCATTTTAAATCGCAATTTACATTTTGGTAGTAAATAGATTTTAGTAGTAAATATGCAAATTTTCAGCAATAGTTCACAGGTATATAGATTAAAAAACACACACCGCTATAGTGGAAGCGACAACCCGGAAAGAGATCCGATTACTTTTAAAGATAAATTAGTACCGCAATCAAACAAAAAAAAAGGTTGGCGCGATGTCATCGAACTTTGACGTGCCAAAAGAATAAATCATCTCGTCACAAATAAAAAAAATATATTCCCACCTTTCATATATAATAGCTCCTTGTTCCTTAAAGTTTCACTGCATTGAGGTTAGAAAATCATGATTGGCGTTATGTGATCTTAATGACAGAATAAAAGAAAGCTAAAAATTCTCTCATATTATTCAAAAAAAAGTTTATTATAAAGTCAACAACTCTTGGAAATCTTGACTCATTGTTATTCTTTAAGAGATCATCTAAAGTGATCTCAACTGATGATGAGACCACATTGTGTCTCTTGCAAAACGAAAAATATTACACACTACTAAAGAATTTCAATTTCATTTCAATTTACTTCAAATCAATTCCTTAAACTTAACTTTAATCAATTTTCTAAACATAACTTTAATCAATTGAATTTGAATTTAATTCGAATTAATTCTATTAATTCCAAATAAAAGGATAAAAGCTTTACATAAAACAGTTACAAACTGCAAAAGTTGAAATTAACAAACCGAATTTTTGAAAAGTTTCAAGAAAAGCTTGATAAAAAAACGAAAAATTTAATACAAGAATAACAGAAAATTCCTCCTAGCGTAAAGAATAACTTTAAAACGAAAATACGGAAAATTATCTTCCCAGGTAAGATAGAATATTATATATACGAGAAAATGAAAAATTAGCATACGAGGGACATTTATAATAGTTCAATTTCATCGGAAATGGTAGTTGACATGAACAAGTTTTCTCCCACGCATTTATGACAGAATGCTTATGTTTAAGATTGAAGATTGTCCGCTCCTTAGGTAAGAACACTTAACCCACGTATACCGTTGTGCGCCACGTGACTAATCCGATTCCCCCTGAGGCGTATCAATTCCTATACACACTTATATATATTCCCTATAGCGCGCAACTTTACGATCAGAAATCACAAACTACAAAAATTGAACATATACACACTCTTTCTACTACGATCCATTAATGATTTTCAATTATCCCGTGAATATAAACTTTTTTACCATCGCGCATTCTTGTAATGCTGCAAAACTTCAAATTGACTTTTGCACTCTCCTCACTAGAAACCTATTTTCAAATTGACTCTTGCACTATTATAACATGTTTTTTTATACAATTGCAAATAAATTGACTTTTGCACTCTTCATTACATGATTCGATTTTCCTAAATTGTATCTATAAAATAGAGAGAGACTCCTACTTTGACTATGTTACTTATTCTGTCCTACTTTATTTTAAAATTTAATAACTATTTTCGTTATTCGTTTTTTTAATTTTTTGAAACTAAATTTTTGAAGGCAGTACTTTTTTAAACACTGAGTTGCATTCAACTTTACATTAATATTCTACACTTTCTCGTAAGTCTGAAATAACACCTATCATCAGATACGGATAATCTTATCCACGCAATTTTATTTGACATTAATATACATATACATCTACTTTATCCGTCTTTGAAATTCTTTCCATTAATTTTGCAACAAAGCAAAAGTAGAAAAGCTTTTAAATGCTAAAAGAAAATTCAGACTCAACAAAAAAATCCACAGTTCAAAAGTTCATCTCTCTTGCATTAGGATGAAATAGCAATTTCACCCAGAAGAAAATTATTCTCAAGATTAAAGAATACGGAATAAAATATCAAAAGCAAAAATAAAATACTTGTTATGCCATACAAAAATACAAAATATACAAACTTTTTACAGAATACGATAGTATTCTGTAAAAAATTTGCAGATTTTGTATTTTCGTATGTCAACACAACCTGAATCACGTGCCTGTGATTCCCATATAATCTCGGTTTTCATATTATTTTTTTTTCTTGACATTCCCGTTGTCGGCATCTCTGATCTATGAAATGCCAAGTTTGGTCCCTCCCAACACTCTCTTTCTCTCTCTCTTATTTCGATCCTTCCCATATTCCATCGTGATGTCCATGACAGGCTATGACAGGAGCACAATGAGGCCATACAGAAAACAGGCTTTTCATACATGCGCGCTCATGTCATAATGTGCAGGGATCCAACGTACATTTATGCGTTCCATAATCGTATCAGGATACCTTCGCTCTCTATAACCTCACCTGGGCACTTGACAAGCTTCTTTGGTCGGTTATACGTCGAAGCCCCAAAAATGTACATGTGAACCCCTTTTCACAATAATATTACGAAATTCGAGTAGCCTTATATATATTATATATCAAAAAATATGAGGGCAAGTAAGAATTAACCTTTATCATTTCTATCACGAACGATATCAACTCAGACCTTCATAATTAAACTCAAATTTGCTCCTCTTGCAGCGATTCTATCAAAATTTTTTCAAAAATATTGTCTACCAAAAATAAAAATGTTACATAAACAGAAATGTTCTACTTCTGTAGAAATTAGCAACATTTGATAGTCCCTTTGGATACAGACCAAGAGTGACAGTAAACTATACAATCATTTTTTTATATCTGTGTTAATTATCCGGAAGTGGATCAAGTGGGGATAGATGCGGCAAAAAATTGGCCAAAAGTTTAAAAGCAACAATTTGATGGTGACATGTACCCAATGTAATATATAGTACACTAAGGGGGCATTTGCCCTCTAGGAAAGTCGATAGCAAGCGAAACCAAAAATACTTTCCAAATAACATTGCCAACAAAGGGAGTGCACCAACCTGACATCTTAATTTTTAATTAAAAGGTAGAACCAAATTCTTTCCCTGATAGCCAACCAAATCAAAATTAAGATCATCTATAATACTTTCCGAACCTTGAAAATCGATCTTCTAGGCTTATTAACTTCCGATTAAAACACGAAAGAATTCAGATATCAAAGATAGCAAATAATAAATTTAATTAAAAATTGAAGTCTAATAAATTTACGTTGGTGTAATTTTCCAATTATTATTTTTTTCCAGCGAGTTGCTGTGGCATTGGAGTTGAAGATGCAACGAACCAAGAATCCGGGAATCCAGGTGGCGGAGGCGCAGGTGGTGGTGGCGTTTCCGTGATACCTGATAGACCGCCACTTGAGCTAGATAAATTACCACCTTATCATGATGTCGCGCCAAGTCCTGGTGAGTATATCGATTCTTCTGTCCCAATATATCTTATTCAAGAGAAGTTGATCCTTATTGTACAGACAGAGAAAGTTTTGCATTCATCGATTTTCCAACCACGGGAAGAACATCATTGATCTTAGTCAAACCTTCACGTATACACTAAAGACTCTATCAAAACATTATTCATTATACAATCCCTAACGATCCGCGCGCACACACACCATTCATATATTACGAATGTGTACATACAGTCATTAGCAATTATTGAATCGACAACAGTTTCTAATTACATAAGATATTAATCCATAGTTTTCAAATTAGTTCCTATTAGTTCCAATTAGTTCAAATTAGTTTTCAAATATAAGAAATTTTTCAAAAGATTAGTTTTTTCCAAATAACATATCATTTACTATATAGTCATTTTATTCACTCTGTTAATCTGAATCAGTGATAAGTAAATACTATTTGAATGTTTGTCTATATAATAAAATCTCACGATTAAAACACGCCAAAGCTATTTTCCCAGGAGTTCTGTAAAGAAATGTCTAAAACATGCTCACAATAATTAAGTTGTAGAACGGAAAGATTGCGCAAGAGTAAACTGTAAGGGCTCTTGAGGGAAACCTAAAATAAGTCCTTAAAAATGTGTGGAACAACAGGTAACTTTATGCTCTAACCGCAAGTGCCTATAGGTTGGTAAATACATGTATAAATAATGCCAGGTACTCAAACTAGTGTATTTAAATACGCGAGCAAAGAGGAAGTACACTTTCGTGGTTACCAAGCAAAAAAAGCCGTTAAATACTCCCGGCAACTCTCGATCTATCGATTTAGCAAAAAAACAACAAAAACAATCTCTATAATCCAAACTTCTCCTTTTTTATTCAAAATAACTATACATATATATAACGACTAAAAATGTGTAGTAGTCTTAAAAATGGGACGAAATAATAGAAATGATGTTTGTTTTTCTTATACATTTACTAAAATGCAAAATCTATTTTTGGTCCAGGTCATAATGTGTGGTCGTGGTTGGGATCGAGACGCGGTGGCGGAGCACCAGGAGTTGTCGCGGCACCTCTCTCTCTCCCGCAGCATCGAAGAGCAATTAATCTACCGGTTGAAAATCATTACACCCATATGCAGACGGATGAAGCTCTCTATGCCGAACTTGATTCCCAAGCTGCAAGTTATGCCAGCGATCTACAATTACAATTACGAGGAAGTTCCACATACGGGACAACTTCCGCTGGTCAAGATGATGAGTACCATGAATTGGATGCTGCAAGACTGCATCGGCATTATGGAGCCGGAAATAATGACAGCACTCTTCCCCGAGATGGCCTTCGCACTCGACACAGTCAAAGGTGAGCAAAACTCCAAAACGACACTATTTTTGCTTTTACTATTTACTACTGCATTACTTAATTTAATATTAGAACCAAGTTGGTCCTAATTATACTCTATACTCGAAAGATTAGAACTAAACTGATTCTAATTATTCTAAACCCAAAAAGACAGAATAAAACTAATCCTAATTATTCTAAACCTCAAAGGTCTGAACCAAATTGATCGTAATTATATTCTATACCTATAAAAGATTAGAACCAAATTGATGCTAATTACATATTTAAAACCCAAAATATCAGAAGCAAATTGATCCTAACTATTCTGTACCCAAAAGATTAGAACCAAATTGATTCTAATTGTTTTGCACCCAAAAGATCAGAAGCAAATTGATCCTAATTAATCCACACCCATTTGCGAAACAAACCAAAAATTCAATGAACAAAACAATTCTAATTCCTAAAAATATTCAATTTTCAGGATACAAGAGCCAGATTACGAGATGTACGAAAATGGACCAAGTTCACCAACATCTCCGAATCATCACCACCACCATCTCCATCATCACCATCACCATCATCATTCGCCATTGCGAATCGAAGGCGTACCTGGCGAACATCCATCCTATCAAAACACGGCCTACACGGGAAGTGATGCTGAGCCCGATGGACCAACGTTAAGTAGTGCACCGAGCAGTGCCTATTACAGTGATCTTAGTTCAAATTCAACGAATCAACAAATATCACCGCCAATAACGACGTCGACAACAACGTCGACAACAACAACGACAACACTCACTCTAAATCCACAGACACTAGAAACACCACATTTCAGGTTAGCTGCAATTAACGAGACCACAGTGCCATCGGATTATATTTAAAACCGAAAAAGAAGAAGAATGAAAAACTCTCTACTCTATATAACACAAAATAGTCTATAGAAAAGCAGAATTCAATCTTATCCAAACGAATAATCACTTCCTTCTTTCTGTCTCAAAGAAAGAAAGTAAGCGAACAATTTTCACTTTGAAATAAATGTCGTTCACATAAAAGACGCTAGTTGGACGCGCGAGAATGTGTGATCCCGATCAAGGATCAGGTTCTACATCTAATGTCACCACTTAGAGATCAAGGAACTAAGTCACGGACTCGAACACGGCACCCAAAGATCATTTCTAGGATCAAGCTTGTTCGTATTTTTCTATATTATAAAAAAAATAAATATATATATATTATACAATTAACATATATAGAAGAAATTGTAAATAAAAAAAATATTCTAAACTATCAAACAAAGTTTGTATTGTGTATAAAAAAAGAGATTATATTCTCGAAAATATGAATGTAAAAAAAATTTAAATTATTCGTTATAATAATGTGTGCATGTGAGTATTTGTGAAACTATTGTGTGTTAACTTGTGTTTGTAGCTTTTACCAGACTGTTGGTATAGTATTCTATTTCTTAATTTATAAACAAAATGAGGCACTGAAGATTTTTAAGAATGATTTTCAGAAAATCCAAAAATTACAAAAATTATACAAACGAAAATTATTTTTCTGTTAAAAACAAATTGACTTTTCAAGCTATATATATAATTTTCTCATTATGAATAAATCGATAAATCACTTGATATTTACTTGTTTTTTAATACACACTTTATCACCCGTAAAATAAGTTTTGCATTCCGCGACCGTTATAATTACAAGTTGACAAAAACAATCGTGTAGTCAAAAAACCGTTTCGAATCATTCAACTCTGAAGCGCAATTATACCATCACTAATTACACCATTATCACCCGATTCTTTTATTATTTATTTTTAGACTAAAATACTTGACCCAAGGAAAAAATTAGAGAAAAAAAACAAAGAGTAAAAATGACAAATATAAAACCTACAGATGTAAAACAAATAAAAAAACTACAAATAAAAAACCTACAAATGTAAGATCGACAAATAAAAAACCAGCAAATAAAAAACCTACAAATATAATGACTACAAATAAACTTATAAACATTTTAGCAACAAAATTGAAGGAGCAAAATAATTTTTATTTTCTAAATGAACTGTTCTATACTTATTTTAACGCGCTAGGAATGCAGAATCGTTTCAAGTATATATAAAATAAATTCATTTAAAAAAAAAGAAAAAGACTACTTGATAATGGGAATGTTTTTCCCCAACAACTGATAATCGAAGCAACTAATATGCACGTCTTGCATGTTAAGACATGCAACCAATTTTCTTCAGACTTGTAAAAGAATCAACACCTTAATGAAGATGCTATACGACACAGCTTCTCCTCTTTATGCTCTAAATATAGTGACTGAAACCTGCTCATTATGGAAACAACTTTGCAAAAGAAAAGAGAAAGAGAGAGAGAAAAGAAAAAAGAAATTGCAAAACGAGAGAACCTGTCCCTAAATAGATAGATATAATTCGCGCATCAATCTAACATTTTGTTTTGTAAACAAAAAAGAATAATAGTATATCAGAAAGTGCAAGTTTACGAAATAAATTTATCAGTTTTCCCAGTTATGTTTCATTTTTATTTGATTGATCGCCTGCTGTAGGAAGTTCTGACGCTGAGCGTCGACAATTTTTCTTTCGCCAAAATGAAAAGAATAATACAATTTTCTGAGTTTTTAGTTTAAAATAGTGTTCTGGACTTACTTATAACTCCCGTGGTGAATGAAAGAAGTAAAATTAGTGCCATTTTCAACTCTAAAAACCCAAAAAAACAGTTTTTGATCCTGATCATCGACGCCAACTTCAAGAACATTGAATTTCGTATAAATTTTATATTTAAATTCATAAAGTAGTGAACTACACGCATAGAAAGGGTTTGCTGTGGCAGCGAACATTTTGCTGCCACAGCAAACCTTGTTCGTTGAAATAGGGACAGCGAACAAGTTCGCTGTGAGATCAAACAAGTTCGCTATGACAGCAAACTCGACTAAATTTTTACTAATGTTTGCTGTCACAGCTAACATGTTCGCTGACACTGCAAACTTCTTCGCTGTGGTAGTTAATTTTCAGAGATTTTACAGCAAACATCTGTTTACTGCTGCAGCTAATTTCTTTTTTTCCGTGTAACTTCGTGAATCATTCATAGAATAATCACAGAATAAAAATATTCTTTTAAATAAAAAACGAAATTTCTACTTCTCGGCTAATAATTCGCCATACTCTTTGAGTGTATGTTTCGAATAAAAATAAAGAGTAAATTCGCAAAATGTGCGAATGAAGTTATTTCGTGGAACAGGTGTCTTGTAATTTGAAGTTACATCTTTGCAACGTTGCCGTTTGACTTACTTCCGTTCTAAGGTCTCTCTCTCTCTCTCTCTCTCTCTCTCTTTTCTTTTCTCTACATACATATATATATATATATATATACATCAAAGGTAACATTCGTCAGTCGTAAAATGCACCCCTCTGACACGCACGCAAATTTATCCATCTCATTTTCAGTTACACGCAACAACATATCCTCAAAGAAATTAGTATTCGCGTCGAGATCTAAATTAACTTCATCATGTTATAGGAACAAAAATTTTTAACACTGCTCATTACGAAATGAAACCAGTGATTTAGAGGAGGCAGATCGTTTAACACGATCTGCTATAACGATACTACTATATATTTCGAAAAATAAAGACAAAAATTGCAAAAAATATATCCAATAAATTTCTCAAAAATTATAATTTTCGAAGAAAGTTTATGATATTTATTAAATATCATATTTAATAGTAATTTAAGAATTTGAAATTTAACGTGGTCTTCATAAATAGTTTCTTGGCTTTGAAGTTTGACAAAACTAACCCGCATTTTACTGTTTTAGTAAGTTTTTTGAAAAAAGATGAAAATTGTCAGCGTTTCCGAAAACTCATATTATTTTTTTTCTATTCTCTATCACAAAATTAACAATTCATTAATAAATTTTTTCGAAATTTAGAGTGGTCTTCATAGTTTTTTGGCTTTAAAGTCTAACACAAATAGCTTTTATCAGACTTTTGGCCATGTTTTTTCGAAAAAGTTGAAAATTGTAGGCGTTTCCGACGAACCAAACAATTTTTTTCCTATTTTCTATTACTAAATAAACAATTCATTGATAGATTATTTTGAAATTTAGCGTGGTCTTCATAAAGTTTTTTGACTTTGAAATTTGACAAAAAAGCCTATTTCACAATTGTGGACAGTTTTTTGAAAAAAGATTAATGTTATGGGAGTTTCCGTAGTGCGGCCTAACTAATTGTTTCCTATTCTCTATATTACTAAATAAACAATTCACTAATACATTATTTTGAAATTTAGCGTCGTCTTAATGAAGTATTTTGGCTTTGAAGTTTAACAATAAGACTATATCACTGTTTTGATAAGTTTTTTGCATGGACGTATTAAGAAATATAGGGACATGGCATATAGATGCGGGGGGATACTTTGCAGTCCGTAAAGGGAGGCGTTAGCGAATCGCTAATTGGTTAAGAACATGTACGTATTATATGGCAATTGACGCCTGCACATTAAAATTAACCCCCCTCGCCCATATTTTGACTTTGAGGCCTGTCCCTATATTTCTTATGTCCATGGTTTTTTGATAAAAGATGAAAATAGTGGACGTTAATGTAGTACTTTAGCTTTAAAGTTTGGCAAAAAACCTATTTTACATTTTTTGACAGTTTTTTGGAAATTGATGAAACTTATAGGCGTTTCCGAAGATCCTAACTATTTTTTTCCTATTCTGTCTCACTAAGTAAACAATTCATTAATACATGATTTAGCGTGGTCTTCATAAAGTTTTTCGGCTTTGAAATTTAACAAAAGTAGCCAAATTCTCAGTTTTGACCAGTTTTTAGAAAAAAGATAAAAATACGAAAAAATTCAAAAAATACAGTAAGAATTTAAAAAAGAATACCGCAGAAAAATAACAAAAAGGAATGCAAAAAATACAAATAAATGAAAGAAGTACAGAAAAACTGACTAATATCCTTTAATGCAATATAAATTTAACTGATAAAATTGTCCCAAAGATATGGATTAATTATCAATTGAAAGACGCGCGGGTGGTCGGAAGTGGATGTTTCGAGGTTAAAATCGCACGTAATTGAGGTTTCTTTTCACGCGAATAGGCATTAAATGCGCAGGAGAGGGTACCCTCACAGCACCGGGATATTCAGGATATCCCAGAGACGTCCTGGGGATATCGATTTGTTTTCGGAAGTTTGGATATCTCTGGGATATCCTAGGGACGTCCATGGATATCCAGAGGATAATCCAGGGATATCCAAACTTCCGAAAACAAATCGATATCCCCAGGACGTCTCTGGGATATCCTGAATATCCCGGTGCTGTGAGGGTACAGAGAGAAATAAGTGGGGTATATTATATAAAAGAACAGCGACGATTCGTAAAGTGGGATTAATTCGACCGCCTGGAATTAATTTGATCTGGCGAGATCGCTTACCCGACTCATGTTCAGCGTTCTCTTAATTACCGCCGCTTCGAATTGTCGCGCGCGCGCTCGCGCTCCTTACAAGACAGAGGAAAGACATTTTCGTACTCATTCTCACTCTCCTTGCCTCTTGTTTTATTTTTCTTTTTACCTTTTTACACACGCGTATATATATCTCAAACACACAAATACAAACATACATTGAATTGCGAGACTCTGACGGCAAAATACCCAGTTACAAGTGCCTGTACAACTACCAAACGTTACACTCTATATCACTTGCAACTCCTGAGCAGCACAGAGGGAACTTAATTTATTAAGAGTACAGTAACCAAATACCCCAAGGAATACTCACTCTCAACGAAGAGGTACGAATTTAAATTTCGTTTCCTTCTCTTTTAAGAAAGAGGAAGAGCTCTCTTAAGAGCGAGATAAGAATTAAAATTCTTATGCTCCGGTGTGAGCGATAATTTCTTCTCTATATAATAAATTAAAAATTTTTGAAAAAAGTGGCAAAAACATAATGTTTGAGGTGATAATTGGACCAAAATTTTCTTTGCTCCCAAAAGTAGTTTTCTGAGACAGCAATTGGACTAAAACTTTTTTTTGTACATAAAGGTAATCGCCAAGAGTTTCTACACGGAAAGAAAAAGTTTACGGATCTCTCGTGAACTAGTATACATCACTTTTGGATATGGGACACAAAGTTCTTCAAAATCAACAAACACTGTTCGTCAAAATTTCATGAACTCCTTCACTAGAAACATAGTACAGTTATCGAATTGTTCGTGACAGTTAACGAAGCATTCGTGAACTTTGAAAAAATTTTAAAAACTATAAAATAGTACATTTCGTAACAAGTGTGAACTGATGGCGTTTTTGAGACGCATGCATATCCAATAATCGCCAAGTCGTCGAATGATCAAATAGTCGAATGCCAAGTAATCGAATGGACAAAACGTCGAATGCTAAAAACATCGAATGGACAAAACGTCGAATGCTAAAAACATCGAATGGTCAATACGTCGAATGTTCAAAATGTCGAATTATCAATTCGTCGAATGTTAAAAACATCGAATCGTCAAAAGTTCAAAAAAGTTCTTTGTTTTCAGTAGACATTAACTTAAAACAAAGATCTTTTTCGAACTTTTGACGATTCGATGTTTTTAGCATTCGACGTTTTAAGCATTCGACGAATTAACAGTTCGATGTTCTGAGCATTCGGCGTTTTTATCATTCGACGTTTTGAACATTCGACTACTTTACCATTCTACTACTTGGCAATTCAAACAGATGGTGTTTTGACCTACTTGACATTTCGAACAGATGGCGTTTTGACTATTTGAGCATTCGACGAATGAACTATTCGATGGTTTTACCATTCGACTTAATGACGATTCGACGTTTTGAACATTCGACGTTTTTATCATTCGACGT